GTGTGTGTGTGTGTGCGTGTGTATGTGTGTGTGTGTGTGTGTGTGTGTGTGTGTGTGTGTGTGTGTGTGTGTGTGTGTGTGTGTGTGTGTGTATGTGTGTGTGTGTGTGTGTGTGTGTGTGTGTGTGCGTGTGCGTGTGTGTGTGTGTGTGAATCTATATTTATTCACCTATATGTGCTTGCAGGTGTCGATCCTTAGCTCCTGGCCCCGCCTGTCAACTTGCAGCTTGAGTGATTCACTCCTAAAATTGTGTGCTCTGTCGTACCTGGTTTTAAAACTATGCATGGAGTCTGCCTCTACCAGTTCCTCGTCGAAATCATTTCACTTCCTGACCTCCTCGAGGCTCATCTATGTTTTTAATGTCCAGCTGTGCCCCTGAGTACTTGCTTCTCGCCTCCAGCAGCCTATGTCTACCCTATCAATTCCTCTGAGTATTTTTCATGTTGTTATCATGTCTCTCCTGGTTTTACTGTCTTCCAACATCGTTTAGTTAATTTTGATTATTTTTTTCCTCGTAGCTCATATTCTTTAGATCAGGAACAAGCTCCAGTTCCTTGGATCAAGAGTTCACCAGCATCAAGGCAGCACCGTTGAAGACTACTACTGCTGCAAAAATCTACGGCATGTAGAAGGTTGTACTGACGTATTGCTCAATCCTGGAGAAATACGAGCCCCGGGGCAGACTACGATGGGGCCGGATTGATGCTAATTGACCTGACCTTTGACACCAGAGATGCAACAACTGCTGCACCAACAACTGCTGCACCAACAACTGCTGCACCAACAACTGCTGCACCAACAACTCCTGCACCAACATCTGCTGCACCAACATCTGCTGCACCAACAACTGCTGCACCAACAACTGCTGCACCAACATTTGCTGCACCAACATCTGCTGCACCAACAACTGCTGCACCAACAACTGCTGCACCAACATCTGCTGCACCAACAACTGCTGCACCAACATCTGCTGCACCAACAACTGCTGCACCAACAATTGCTGCACCAACAACTGCTGCACCAACAGCTGCTGCACCAACAACTGCTGCACCAATATCTGCTGCACCAACATCTGCTGCACTAACAACTGCTGCGCCAACAACTGCTTCACCAACAACTGCTGCACCAACAACTGCTGCACCAACAACTGCTGCACCAACAACTGCTGCACCAACAACTGCTGCGCCAACAACTGCTTCACCAACAACTGCTGCACCAACAACTGCTGCACCAACAACTGCTGCACCAACAACTGCTGCACCAACAACTGCTGCACCAACAACTGCTGCACCAATAACTGCTGCACCAACAACTGCTGCACCAACAACTGCTGCACCAACAACTGCTGCACCAACAACTGCTGCACCAATAACTGCTGCACCAACAACTGCTTCACCAACAACTGCTTCACCAACAACTGCTGCACCAACAACTGCTGCACCAACAACTGCTGCACCAACATCTGCTGCACCAACAACTGCTGCACCAACATCTGCTGCACCAACATCTGCTGCACCAACAACTGCTGCACCAACATCTGCTGCACCAACAACTGCTGCACCAACAACTGCTGCACCAACACTGCTACCTCCTACGAGCTCTAGGTAAGTAGGGAAGGTAACAGAGACCTCTACTGTAGGTGCTGTACCTCCGCCACAGGTTGTTCTGCAATTGTAGCTGTGTCACCACCTGTGTTGAAGAACACGGCTGTAAACGATATACCCGGAGGGTATTTCTGGGGTCAACGCCCCCTCGGCCCGGTGCATGACCAGGCCTCGTAGTGCATCAGGGCCTGATCAACCAGGCTGTTTCTGTTGGTTGCACGTAAACCAACGTACGAACCACAGTCCGGCTGGTCAGGTTCTGACTTTAAGTGCCTGTCCAGTGCCTTCTTGAAGACAGCCAGGGGTCTATTGGTAATCCCCTTTATATATGCTGTGGGGCAGTTAAACAGTCTTGGGCCCCTGACACTTGTTGTGTTGTATCTTAGCGTACTTACCTGGCCCCGTGGCCTGGTAGCCAAAGCTGTCCCTTCACACGGCGAGGGCTCGGACTCGATTCCCGGTGAGGGTAGAAATATTGGGCGTGTTTCCTTACATCGGTTGTCTATGTTCACCCATCAGCAAAATGGGTACCTGGGTGTTAGTGGACTGGTGTGGGTCGCATCCTGGGACAAAACTGTCTTAATTTGCAGTAAATGCTCTATATAACAAGGGGCTTTCTATATAGTAGTATGTCACTGATGTCAGCTATGGTCAGTACATGCACTTGTAAAAATAAAGATATTATTATTATTATTATTATTATTATTATTATTATTATTATTATTATTATTATCATTATTATTATTATTATTATTACTGCGCCCCTGGTTTTCACTAGGGGAATCTTGCACCACTTGTCCAGTCCTTTGTTCTGAATGAGAGTATAACATTCGTTCATACTGCCACACTCCTTCACCACCCACTGACGGACCACCATCTGCCGAACACCACTGTCACTACTGTTTACCTGGTGAATGTATTAACATTATTATTATTAATAGTTCTTCCTGGACCATTATTAACAGTCCTTCCTGGACCATTATTAACATTCCTTCCTGTGTGATGTAGTTCAGCTGGGCTTGTGAGGTCTCTGGGGAGACCTAATTTAACCAATTATATGGTCACACCTTGCCTTGGCAAACGTCTGTAGCCACGCCCACGTATGAGGTCTTTTGTTCTTGACTGTGTCAGACCTAGGAGTCAGGTCGTACACGTGGTTGTGGAGGGTGCTTGGACCACCATAAAAGCCCAAGGAAGAGCATGATCAGGAGATTGGAGCGGAGCTGCTGCTGGGGTGCAGAGCTCCTGAGCAGAGACTTCGAGCGGAGCTGCTGCTGGGGTGCAGGGCTCCTGAGCAGAGACTTCGAGCGGAGCTGCTGCTGGGGTGCAGGGCTCCTGAGCAGAGACTTCGAGCGGAGCTGCTGCTGGGGTGCAGGGCTCGGGAGAAGGCTGCTGAAGTCTCTGGAGGAGACTGTTGGAGGCATTGGGCAGAGTACTGGCTTGGCGCAGTACTCGTGCTGTGTAGGTCTTGGGACCTGGGGCTTAGTTCCTGTAGTAAACTGTCCTCTGTGCTATATTGTAAGTTATATTCATTTTGGTCAAGTTGATTGTGTTCCCTGTCTCACTGCTTATACATACCATCCCATTTATCTAAACCAATGATGTACTCCTGTTCCCAAATGTATTATTGTACAAGGACTTAATAATAAACTGTGTTTGAGTAGAATAACAATATTCACTGCCCACCGTTATTTATTCTTTTTTCTTATATTTTATTTTTTTATTTTCAAGTAGTGAGAGGGTGAGTAGTGTGGTGAGTAGAGTAAATAAGAGGTGAAGGTGGTCACCAGTGACCTCACATTACCTACCTACCTCCGCATACATCTCTCCTACCACCTCGCCGCATGTCCCCTACCTACTAACTCCCTCCTCTTACCCCCATATTCCCCTAATCATTCCCCCCCTACATGACACCTGGACCGTTATTAACAGTCCTTCCTGGACCGTTATTAACAGTCCTTCCTGGACCGTTATTAACAGTCCTTTCTGGACCGCTGTTAACAGTCATTTCTGGACCATTATTAACAGTCCTTCCTGGACCATTATTAATAGTCCTTCCTGGACCATTATTAACAGTCCTTCCTGGACCATTATTAGCAGTCATTCCTGGACCATTATTAACAGTCCTTCCTGGACCATTATTAATAGTCCTTCCTGGACCATTGTTAACAGTCCTTCCTGGACCAATATTAACAGTCCTTCCTGGACCATTATTAACAGTCCTTCCTGGACCGTTATTAACAGTCCTTCCTGGACCATTATTAACAGTCCTTCCTAGACCATTATTAGCAGTCCTTCCTGGACCATTATTAACAGTCCTTCCTGAACCATTATTAACAGTCCTTCCTGGACCATTATTAACAGTCCTTCCTGGACCATTATTAACAGTCCTTCCTGGACCATTATTAGCAGTCATTCCTGGACCATTATTAACAGTCCTTCCTGGACCATTATTAATAGTCCTTCCTGGACCAATATTAACAGTCCTTCCTGGACCAATATTAACAGTCCTTCCTGGACCATTATTAACAGTCCTTCCTGGACCGTTATTAACAGTCCTTCCTGGACCATTATTAATAGTCCTTCCTGGACCATTATTAGCAGTCCTTCCTGGACCATTAACAATCCTTCCTGGACCATTATTAACAGTCCTTCCTGGACCATTATTAATAGTCCTTCTTGGACCATTATTAGCAGTCCTTCCTGGACCATTATTAACAATCCTTCCTGGACCGTTATTAACAGTCCTTCCTGGACCATTATTAATAGTCCTTCCTGGACCATTATTAACAGTCCTTCCTGGACCAATATTAACAGTCCTTCCTGGACCATTATTAACAGTCCTTCCTGGACCATTATTAACAGTCCTTCCAGGACCATCATTAATAGTCCTTCCTGGACCATTATTAATAGTCCTTCCTGGACCATTATTAATAGTCCTTCCTGGACCATTATTAACAGTCCTTCCCTGACCATTATTAACAGTCCTTCCTGGACCATTATTAACAGTCCTTCCAGGACCATCATTAACAGTCCTTCCTGGACCATTATTAAGGGTTCTTCCTGGACCATTATTAAGGGTAGATACTGGACCATTATCAAATCCTAATCTAATAATGTTTCCTGACAGACTGAAAGCTGGTCCAAAGTTCTCTATGTACAATAATTTAAAATAAATCTAAATTATGAATGAGTTGTGAAAGTTAAATTTCCCGCCAAGTTTGAGACAGACACAGTCCATTTTAATTCTCAAAATTCACCAACAATATATAATACAATTAACAGATATGCAAAACAGAATTGAAAAATGACATTTTAGCTGCATTTTTTTAATATATATAATGCGAAAGAGAAAAGATACATGGCAAAAATAAGAAAGTTTGCACTTGATTTGATGTCGTAGTCCTCGGGAACAACATACATGGCCGAGTTGTTAAATATGTGAAGCAAATTGCTTGTTTTTGGGCGTTTTTAAGCACTTTAGCTTTAACTTAGGATAGATTTTGTATACGGTAAGTGTTGCCCTTGTTGGCGCCTTGCACTTAGGTGATTTAAGTTGGTTTATTGAGGTTTAAGTAAGGAGAAATACGAGGAGAAAGATGTGAATGATATGTTGTGGTTGATCAGCTGATGTAGTGAAACACTTCTCTAAGACACTTACTTACCTCCTCACACTTATCTTAAAGTAATTTATAAGATGTTAAACTATCCAGAAGACACTTGTGTGTTATTTAAGTGTTTGGGACAACTTTCACAGTGATGCAGTAATGGTGGTGTGAGTTACTTGAGGTTATTGTCCACTGATGGACTTATAATACTTAAGTTGTAAAGTTAGTGGTTGTTAGTGGTCAAGTTAGTGGTTGTTAGTGGTCAAGTTAGTGGTTGTTAGTGGTCAAGTTAGTGGTTGTTAGTGGTCAGGTTAGTGGTTGTTAGTGGTCAAGTTAGTGGTTGTTAGTGGTCAGGTTAGTGGTTGTTAGTGGTCAAGTTAGTGGTTGTTAGTGGTCAAGTTAGTGGTTGTTAGTGGTCAGGTTAGTGGTTGTTAGTGGTCAAGTTAATGGTTGTTAGTGGTCAAGTTAGTGGTTGTTAGTGGTCAAGTTAGTGGTTGTTAGTGGTCAGGTTAGTGGTTGTTAGTGGTCAAGTTAGTGGTTGTTAGTGGTCAAGTTAGTGGTTGTTAGTGGTCAAGTTAGTGGTTGTTAGTGGTCAGGTTAGTGGTTGTTAGTGGTCAAGTTAGTGGTTGTTAGTGGTCAAGTTAGTGGTTGTTAGTGGTCAAGTTAGTGGTTGTTAGTGGTCAAGTTAGTGGTTGTTAGTGGTCAGGTTAGTGGTTGTTAGTGGTCAAGTTAGTGGTTGTTAGTGGTCAGGTTAGTGGTTGTTAGTGGTCAAGTTAGTGGTTGTTAGTGGTCAGGTTAGTGGTTGTTAGTGGTCAGGTTAGTGGTTGTTAGTGGTCAAGTTAGTGGTTGTTAGTGGTCAGTTAGTGGTTGTTAGTGGTCAAGTTAGTGGTTGTTAGTGGTCAAGTTAGTGGTTGTTAGTGGTCAGGTTAGTGGTTGTTAGTGGTCAGGTTAGTGGTTTGTTAGTGGTCAAGTTAGTGGTTGTTAGGGTCAAGTTAGTGGTTGTTAGTGGTCAGGTTAGTGGTTGTTAGTGGTCAAGTTAATGGTTGTTAGAGGTGAAGTTAGTGGTTGTTAGTGGTCAAGTTAGTGGTTGTTGTGGTCAGGTTATGGTTGTTAGTGGTCAAGTTAGTGGTTCTTAGTGGTCAAGTTAGTGGTTCTTAGTGGTCAAGTTAATGGTTGTTAGAGGTGAAGTTAGTGGTTGTTAGTGGTCAAGTTAGTGGTTGTTAGTGGTCAAGTTAGTGGTTGTTAGTGGTCAAGTTAGTGGTTGTTAGGTGGTCAAGTTAGTGGTTGTTAGTGGTCAAGTTAATGGTTGTTAGAGGTGAAGTTTAGTGGTTGGTTAGTGGTCAGTTAGTGGTTGTTAGTGGTCAAGTTAGTGGTTGTTAGTGGTCAAGTTAATGGTTGTTAGAGGTGAAGTTAGTGGTTGTTAGTGGTCAAGTTAGTGGTTGTTAGTGGTCAAGTTAGTGGTTGTTAGTGGTCAGTTAGTGGTTGTTAGTGGTCAAGTTAGTGGTTGTTAGTGGTCAAGTTAATGGTTGTTAGAGGTGAAGTTAGTGGTTGTTAGTGGTCAAGTTAGTGGTTGTTAGTGGTCAAGTTAGTGGTTGTTAGTGGTCAAGTTAGTGGTTGTTAGTGGTCAAGTTAGTGGTTGTTAGTGGTCAAGTTAGTGGTTGTTAGTGGTCAAGTTCAGTGGTTGTTAGTGGTCAAGTTAGTGGTTGTTAGTAGTTGTTAGTGGTCAAGCTAGAGGTTGTTAGTGGTCAAGTTAGTGGTTGTTAGTGGTCAAGTTAATGGTTGTTAGTGGTCAAGTTAGTGGTTGTTAGTGGTCAAGTTAGCGGTTGTTAGTGGTCAAGTTAGTGGTTGTTAGTGGTCAAGTTAGTGGTTGTTAGTGGTCAAGTTAGTGGTTGTTAGTGGTCAAGTTAGTGGTTGTTAGTGGTCAAGTTAGTGGTTGTTAGTGGTCAAGTTAGTGGTTGTTAGTGGTCAAGTTAGCGGTTGTTAGTGGTCAAGTTAGTGGTTGTTAGTGGTCAAGTTAGCGGTTGTTAGTGGTCAAGTTAGTGGTTGTTAGTGGTCAAGTTAGTGGTTGTTAGTGGTCAAGTTAGTGGTTGTTAGAGGTGAAGTTAGTGGTTGTTAGTGGTCAAGTTAGTGGTTGTTAGTGGTCAAGTTAGTGGTTGTTAGTGGTCAAGTTAGTGGTTGTTAGTGGTTAAGTTAGTGGTTGTTAGTAGTTGTTAGTGGTCAAGCTAGAGGTTGTTAGTGGTCAAGTTAGTGGTTGTTAGTGGTCAAGTTAGTGGTTGTTAGTGGTCAAGTTAGTGGTTGTTAGTGGTAAAGTTAGTGGTTGTTAGTGGTCAAGTTAGTGGTTGTTAATGGTCAAGTTAGTGGTTGTTAGTGGTCAAGTTAGTGGTCAGGTTAGTGGTTGTTAGTGGTCAAGTAAGTGGTTGTTAGTGGTAAAGCTAGTGGTTGTTAGTAGTCAAGTTAGTGGTTGTTAGTAATCAAGTTAGTGGTTGTTAGTGGTAAAGTTAGTGGTTATTGGTCAGGTTAGTGGTTGTTAGTGGTCAAGTTAGTGGTTGTTAGTGGTAAAGTTAGTGGTTGTTAGTAATCAAGTTAGTGGTTGTTAGTGGTCAAGTTAGTGATTGTTAGTGGTAAGATTAATGATTGTTAGTGGTAAGTTAGTGATTGTTAGTGGTTGTTAGTCGTAAAGTTAGTGATTGTTAGTGATAAAGTAGTGGTTGTTAGTGGTAAAGTAGTGTGGTTGTTAAGTGGTCAAGTTTAGTGGTCAGGTTAGTGGTTGTTAGTGGTCAAGTTAGTGGTTGTTAGTGGTAAAGTTAGTGGTTGTTAGTAGTTATGTTAGTGGTTGTTAGTAGTCAAGTTTAGTGGTTGTTAGTGGTAAAGTTAGTGGTTAGTGGTCAGGTTAGTGGTTGTTAGTGGTCAAGTTAGTGATTGTTAGTGGTAAAGTTAGTGGTTGTTAGTGGTAAAGTTAGTGGCTGTTAATGGTCAAGTTAGTGGTTGTTAGTGGTCAAGTTAGTTGTTGTTAGTGATCAAGTTAGTGGTCAAGTTAGGGGTTTGTGGTAAAGTTAGTGGTTGTTAGTGGTCAAGTTAGTGGTAGTGATCAAGTTAGTGGTCAAGTTAGAGGTTTGTGGTAAAGTTAGTGGTTGTTAATGGTCAAGTTAGTGGTTGTTAGTGATCAAGTTAGTGGTCAAGTTAGAGGTTGTTAGTGGTTAAGTTAGTGGTTGTTAGTGGCAAAGTTAGTGGTTGTTAGTGGTAAAGTTACTGATTGTTAGTGGTAGCCACCTCAGCTCACAACTGAGGGACCATGGTTCAATCCCCAGCACCAGTGGAAACTTAGGTCCTGTTTCCTTACACCTGCTGTTGTTCACCTAGCAGTAAGTAGGTACCAGGGTGTTAGTCTACTGGTATGGGTGGCATCCTGGGGAAAGGGACCACAAGACCCCCAGTGGAAATCAACTAGATAATCCTTGATGACAGCCTGGGTTACCCTGGATTAATATTCCCAACAAAATCTTTGTCAGTCAGGCCCTTCTGAGTTTGGTTAATGACTGGTTAGGTGACCTTTGGCACAGTCACGGTCATTGCTAGAAAGTCATCAAGATGCCACGTTCTCATCTCCCATCTTCACCATCAGGGCTACAATGTACCATACAATACATGACAGGTATTCAGCAGACACGTTCTCTGGATTACAGTAAAGTCCTCAAGTTACAAACACATTGAGAAGCTTCTGTATTGTATATAATATCATTAATGTATCATTATTGTGCACAATATCTTTATATCATTATTGTGTATAATATCATTATATCATTATTGTACACAATATAGAAGATTCCCAGTGTGTTTGTAAGTCGAGGACTTATTGTAACCATAGTTGGTTGTGGTGGTGTCATTGCACTAGCCTTACGACTGTAATGATTATCTTTCATTCAACGAGGCTGCTGGTACTAAAGAACTGTCCGTCATGACTGAAGTGAAACACCATTTGCAGGAACTGCTTCAAGCTTTCCAAAGGTTATTTTCACCTTAAAGAGATTTCTGTAGCTCAGAGATTAATACAGAGCCTGTTTGTTTTTTTAATCAGAACTGTTGTATCTATGCACCTCTAGCAAGACAGGAATAGTGTGAATGATGGTGAAAGTGTTTATTTTTTGGGCGACCCTGCCTCGGTGGGAGACAGCCAGTGTGTTAAAAAAAAAATGGATAACTGGGAGATATGTAATGGAAGATGTTTTGAAGATGAAAGCTAATGAAGGAATTCAAATGGAATTTGAATAAATTATGTTGAAAACTTGTGGTGTGCAGAACTCGGAATGTTCCCACAGCTAAAAAAAGGCTACATTAATTAATAAAACAAGATCATTATTGATGAATTTTCTTGAATATGGAATATTACTGTAGTATATACAGTATTGTATATTCTTTAACTAAACTTATACAGTAGAACCCCCGTATCCGCAGGGGATAGGTCCCAAGACGTATGGTGGTTACCTGAAACTGAGAATAGTAGCAAACCCTATATATAGTCATTTTTTGTTTACATACTTACCTATGATAAAGTTTAATTGATATATTACTCACAATAAGTCAAGAATTAGCACTTTTTAACTGATGGGAAGCACTTCACAGCTTCTCTTAGGCTTTGAAGAACTGCCATCATCACTACTTTTGTGCTTAGGGGTAATTATTAAGCAAAAGTAAGGTTTTTTTTGGGCCATGGTAAACCATAGATAACTGAAACTGTGGAAGTCAAATCTGCAGATATGGGGGTTCTATTGTATCTAGACAGTAATTTTAGAGTAGTGGTTGTGTAAACATTTGTGACCTTACACTTGTTTTTGCCTGTGACAGAACCCACCTCAATCCCCCACCATGTCCAACGACCCAGCCACCTTTGTGGCTGGTGTCCCCGTGAAGATTAGTGAGAGATTCCGACCACCCAGACGGGTGACTATACCACCATCCTGTCAGCACCAAATTAGCCCTGACCTTCTTACTCAAGAGGTAAGTTATGGTGAATTATTGTACTTGATCTTACATAGAAGGTAATTCATATTGATGTGTTGCAAAGAAAACAGGTAACTTTGCTATTATTTATTATAGATAAGGGCAGTGTGGTGTGTAAATATTATGCAGAGAATTTGGAGTTTGGAAATTAGGAGAAGGTGTGCAGTTAATAAAAGTATTAATCAGAGGGCTGAAGAGGGGTTGTTGAGGTAGTTTGGTCATTTAGAGAGAATGGATCAAAGTAGAATGACATTGAGAGGGTATAAATCTGTAAGGGAAGGAATGCGGGGTAGGGGTCATCCTCGAAAAGATTGGAGGGAGGGGGTAAAGGAGGTTTTGTGGCTGAGGAACTTGGACTTCCAGCAAGCATGTGTGAGCGTGTTAGATAGTAGTGAATGGAGAAGAATGGCATTTGGGACCTGATGAGCTGGAGTGTGAGCAGGGTAATATTTAGTGAAGGGATTCAGGGAAACCGGTCATTTTTATATAGCCGGACTTGAGTCCTGGAAATGGGAAGTACAATGCCTGCACTTTAAAGAAGGGGTTTGGGATATTGGCAGTTTGGAGGGATATGTTGTGTATCTTTATACGTATATGCTTCTAAACTGTTGTGTTCTGAGCACCTCTGCAAAAACAGTGATTTTGTATGAGTGAGGTGAAAGTGTTGAATGATGATGAAAGTATTTTCTTTTTGGGGATCTTCTTTCTTTTTGGGTCACCCTGCCTCGGTGGGAGACGGTCAACTTGTTAAAAAAAAAAAATGTTTCTATTGAAATATAAGTTTACAGCTTCATTTTCAAGAGCAGGATGGATATACTCTATATTTTTTCTGTATTTCTTCTTTTTTTATTCTTTGTTACCTTCTGAAACTCCAAATTTTAGGGATTAATGAAGAATAAAAGTCACATTACTGTGCAATTCACAAATAACCTGCACTTAGAAGAGGATGCTTATGATGTTTTGGTCCTTCCTGACTTGTGACTTGAGTGTTAAATACTCTTAAAACAAATCTGCATGAAGCAAGGGAGACCTGTGCTGCATTTGGGTGTTACTGTAGTGCTGTCAGCATATAACATTCCCTTTATTCCTTGAGCTTTTTAATTCATATTTTTTTTTCAGTATGACTTTGCAGTAGAGAGAAGAGTTCTAACTTGGCTGCAAGAAAGAAAAGCATGGAAGGAAAAAAAAGAAAATGAACACAAAGAAAGAATAGCTGAATATGACAGGAAAAAGGCAGAGAAAAAGGCCAAGGAAGAGGAAGAAAGGTTAAAAAAGGAGGTAGAAGAGGAGGGGGAAGAGAGAGAAAAGAAAATTAAAGAGGAGGAAAAGAGAAGAGGAGAGGCAAAAATAGAGCTTGAAGGAGGAAGAAAAAAAGAGCAGCAGAAACCAGAGGAAGCAAAAGATGAAGCAGAGGATGACGATGAAGAGAAAATGGAAAGTCAAACAGCCGAGGCGGACAGTGACGACTCCAGCACAGCACGAACCGCGTCACAAGACAGTGATGCTACAATACCACAACAACACTCAGGCACTAAAGAGTCTGTAAATTTCTCCTCGAACCTTTCTTCTGAGAATACTTTTACCAGCAGCAGCACTGTGCATGCCTTGAACTCTGCATACAAAACTGACACTGGATCACCCTATGACTGGATGCTGAAGCCAACTCTTATTTCCTCAAAGAAGAACAATCTGAAATCTCCCTTAAAGACTCCAGCTAATATAAATTTTGCAGATTTTGAGGGTGAAGGTAATGATCCCTTTGACAGTGCTGCATTAAAATCTATAAATGATATGGAAGAATTGGCTAAGGTTCTTGATTCCTCAAATTTAGGGCAACAATCAGTTGAAGAAAATAATACTCTTAAGCATAGATCTTCTGAAGAGGAGGGAACATGTGCCAGTTCTTTCTCAAGTGATGGAGTACCATACAACACTTATGGACGGTATTCATATTATATGCAACAACAACAGCTACAGCCACAGCAGCAGCAGCTTCAGCAACAACAGCAGCAACAGAACCTATCCCAAACTAGACAGAATTTTGGTCAGTATGCCAGCCATATGGGTAAGAGCACACAAGTAACTTCTGCACCATCTACTGTGCCATCTTACTCTAGCAGTTCACAATATAGTGCAAACCCTAACAGAGCCTTCCAAAGCAGCTATTATCCTCAACAGTGGAACAATAGCTTCAACGTAAGTAGTCCCAGTAAGGCTGCACATTATGTGCCTTATGAGTACTGTCTCCAGGCTGGTAATGTACCAAGTGGTCCCACTAATACGACACAAGGAGTAATGAGTCCTAGTAGTAATTCTGGAACCACAGCTAGTATTCCTATTTCTACTAATAGTAGCTTTTCGACAATGCCCTCAGAAAGAGGGACAACTCCAAGCAAAAGACCAGATCTCGAAGACTTTTACTCGCGATATTATTCACAGAATAAGTCCATAGTTCAACAGAGTCAGCATTCTGGTGCTCAGTCAGGAGAATCGACACCAAGTCACAGCAGTAGTTCAGGTGCTGCTGGATCAACAAGTGGGTCTTTACGATCAAGTCGGAGTGTCCCCGACCTGACTGCAGCTGAAGATTCCGAAGTAACCAGATACAGCAGTAGGACACAGTCATTTAATGATGGCAAAGTGTTTGCTCACACTCCCCCACCTAGACCTTCTAGTGCTGGACTGACTGGCTTAGAGGTATGAAAAACAGAGTTTTCTTCCTCATTAACTTGTGTAATATAAGTTTTCTTCAGTATATGTAAATTACTTATTTTACCTTCATTAGGCTCAGATTTATCAAACATTTGTGATATGAAATAATAAAAAATGAAAAATTAATGTTGTACTGATGTAATTCAAATAATTTTCAAAGGATATGTCTCAAGCCTTGATCAGTTTTGCTTTATCTCATCCCATCATTTACTTTTCCAGCCTTACAATTTAAATTTTTGCTAAGTATGCTTGACATGCATGAAGTAATCTATTGCTTTATGCAGATTCTTCATATGTGAACTAATTTTTAATGTGATGCCCCATTTCTATCAGTAATTCTCTATGATAGAAATTCTTCATTATTCTGCAAACTGCAGAATAATGAAGAATTAAGTGTCAACATAGACCTTGGTAATTGTTACTGTCAATTGATATAAAGAGATACCTGAGCAAATGCTAGGACATAGTTATCAGGAAATGTTTTCATCCTGGGACTTTGAAGTGATCATGGTTCCAGAACCAAAACATTTTCTAATAAATATGTTTCAGTGTTTGCTCATATACCTTTTTAAAGGTGTATGTGTTGATAAGCTTATTGAAATGACTAGAAGTACCATGGGCCTGGAATGCATCTACTAGTAGAGCAAGAAATTTCTGTACCATACTCCTCTGTTTCCTCTCTAAAATTCTAAGTACAGTACATAAATAATAAATGTAGACAGAAGAACAAAGTGTAATGTGAAGAAAGGTGAAGGATGAAGCAGTTTAGATCAACTTTTGGAAAACTGTAATGGTTTGTAAGGAATTTATAAGTGTGACACAACCAGAGTCACCTCACACTTGCTTCCTCTTGCTGCATCTAACTCAACCAGTAGTTTACACTTGTTAAATGAATATAGATCATATCTTTTCAATAAGTGTTGCAGTTTGAATGATGAGTGGGGATAAGACTATCATATAGGTTTTCATATAGAGAAAGCTAAATATATTGAAGGATAAAATAGTGTGGAGATTGAAGTTTTAAGATATTATTACAGGGAAATTATGAGTACTTGCAGAAAGACAATTCTCACACCTTGCATCTTTATGTACTGGAATGCAATAAAATTAATGAATTCAGGGACAAGTCACTCAGAAATGTTCAAGGAATGTCAAAGTACTTTATCCACAGTGGTATATTACAAACCATTCCGGAAAAATACCCTTACTGTGCTCACTGTAAATAAAGCATTATTACTTTGTGTGTGTGTGTATACTCACCTAATTGTGGTTGCAGGGGTCGAGACTCAGCTCCTGGCCCTGCCTCTTCACTGATCACTACTAGGTCCTCTCCCTCTCTGCTTCCTGAGCTTTGTCATACCTCTTCTTAAAACTATGTATGGTTCCTGCCTCCACTACTTCACTTGCTAGGCTATTCCACTTCCTGACGACTCTATGACTGAAGAAATACTTCCTAACGTCCCTGTGACTCGTCTGAGTCTTCAGCTTCCAGTTGTGACCCCTTGTTTCTGTGTCCACTCTCTGGAACATCCTATCTCTGTCCACCTTGTCTATTCCCCGCAGTATCTTGCGTGTCATTATCATGTCTCCCCTGACCCTTCTGTCCTCCAGTGTCGTGTGTGTGTGTGTGTGTGTGTGTGTGTGTGTGTGTGTGTGTGTGTGTGTGTGTTTGTTTGTTGCATACCCAGACTGGTATTCAGCTATTTTAACCAGTCAAGATTATAGAGATAGCGAATTTACTTTGGTCCAGGGAACTTCCCAATACACAACAAGGGTTTAAGGTAGTAATTTGATTTTCCAATGTCTTTAAAAATGACCAAAACTTCAGATTACTCTTTCATTTAACCCATAAACGGTCCAAGCAGATCTACGTTCACATGTGTAGTGCTCCAAAAATAGATCTACATTTTTTTACACATTTTCAAATGTAAAAAAAAAAAATCTACTTTTTTTACATACTTTCAGATGTTGAAAAAACGTATAGTATATACGTTTGGACCATTTATGGGTTAATTAATATAATCAATTCAATATGATTTCATTCTCTTATGAAAGTGAGTTAAGTAGAGTCCAATACACATTGGACATGTGTGTGTGTGTGTGTATATATATTATATATATATATATATATATATATATATATATATATATATAGTTCCTTGATAATGTGAGTAGTCACGAAAGTGCTTGGAATTTCTCTATTCTTTCAGAGTGGTTGTTTTGCATATTCTGAAATCACCTGTTTACTGTGATCTTATAGTGTTGGAGTGGTTGGTACTTTTGTTTAATAAATGTATGAAAGAGGGGAAGGTACCTAGGGATTGGCGGAGAGCATATATAGTCCCTTTATGTAAAGGGAAAGGGGACAAAAGAGACTGTAAAAATTATAGAGGAATAAGCTTACTGAGTATACCAGGAAAAGTGTACAGTAGGGTTATAATTGAAAGAATTAGAGGTAAGACAGAATGTAGGATTGTGGATGAGCAAGGAGGTTTCAGAGTGGGTAGGGGATGTGTAGATCAGGTGTTTACATTGAAGCATATATGTGAACAGTATTTAGATAAAGGTAGGGAAGTTTTTATTGCATTTATGGATTTAGAAAAGGCATATGATAGAGTGGATAGAGGAGCAATGTGGCAGATGTTGCAAGTATATGGAATAGGTGGTAAGTTACTAAATGCTGTAAAGAGCTTTTATGAGGATAGCGAGGCTCAGGTTAGGGTGTGTAGAAGAGAGGGAGAATACTTCCCGGTAAAAGTAGGTCTTAGACAGGGATGTGTAATGTCACCATGGTTGTTTAATATATTTAAAGATGGGGTTGTAAAGGAAGTAAATGCTAGGGTGTTCGGGAGAGGGGTGGGATTAAATTATGGGGAATCAAATTCAAAATGGGAATTGACACAGTTACTTTTTGCTGATGATACTGTGCTTATGGGAGATTCTAAAGAAAAATTGCAAAGGTTAGTGGATGAGTTTGAGAATGTGTGTAAAGGTAGAAAGTTGAAAGTGAACATAGAAAAGAGTAAGGTGATGAGGGTATCAAATGATTTAGATAAAGAAAAATTGGATATCAAATTGGGGAGGAGGAGTATGGAAGAAGTGAATGTTTTCAGATACTTGGGAGTTGACGTGTCGGCGGATGGATTTATGAAGGATGAGGTTAATCATAGAATTGATGAGGGAAAAAAGGTGAGTGGTGCATTGAGGTATATGTGGAGTCAAAAAATGTTATCTATGGAGGCAAAGAAGGGAATGTATGAAAGTATAGTAGTACCAACACTCTTATATGGATGTGAAGCTTGGGTGGTAAATGCAGCAGCGAGGAGACGGTTGGAGGCAGTGGAGATGTCCTGTCTAAGGGCAATGTGTGGTGTAAATATTATGCATAAAATTCGGAGTGTGGAAATTAGGAGAAGGTGTGGAGTTAATAAAAGTATTAGTCAGAGGGCAGAAGAGGGGTTGTTGAGGTGGTTTGGTCATTTAGAGAGAATGGATCAAAGTAGAATGACATGGAAAGCATATAAATCTATAGGGGAAGGAAGGAGGGGTAGGGGTCGTCCTTGAAAGGGTTGGAAAGAGGGGGTAAAGGAGGTTTTGTGGGCAAGGGGCTTGGACTTCCAGCAAGCATGCATGAGCGTGTTAGATAGGAGTGAATGGAGACGAATGATACTTGGGACCTGACGATCTGTTGGAGTGTGAGCAGGGTAATATTTAGTGAAGGGATTCAGGGAAACCGGTTATTTTCATATAGTCAGACTTGAGTCCTGGAAATGGGAAGTACAATGCCTTCACTTTAAAGGAGGGGTTTGGGATATTGGCAGTTTGGAGGGATATGTTGTGTATCTTTATACGTGTATGCTTCTAAACTGTTGTATTCTGAGCACCTCTGCAAAAACAGTGATAATGTGTGAGTGTGGTAAAAGTGTTGAATGATGATGAAAGTATTTTCTTTTTGGGGATTTTTTCTTTTTTGGGTCACCCTGCCTCGGTGGGAGACGGCCGACTTGTTGAAAAAAAAAAAAAAATATATATATATATATATATATATTCTTCTTTCAACGTACCAGCCGTATCCCACTGAGGTGGGGTGGCCCAAAAGAAAAAACTGAAGTTTCTCCTTTTAAATTTAGTAATATATACAGGAGAAGGGGTTACTAGCCCCTTGCTCCTGGCATTTTAGTCGCCTCTTACGACACGCATGGCTTACAGAGGAAGAATTCTGTTCCACTTCCCCATGGAGATAAGAGGAAATAAACAAGAACAAGAATTAGAAAGAAAATAGAAGAAAACCCAGAGGGGTGTGTATATATATGCTTGTACATATATGTGTAGTGTGACCTAAGTGTAAGTAGAAGTAGCAAGACTTACCTGTAATCTTGTGTATTTATGAGACAGACAAAAGACACCAGCAATCCTACCATCATGTAAAACAATTACAGGCTTTCATTTTACACTCACTTGGCAGGACGGTAGTACCTCCCTGGGCGGTTGCTGTCTACCAACCTACTACCTACAATATATATATATATATATATATATATAATATATATATATATATATATATATATATAATATATATATATATATATAATATTATATATACACACACACACACACACACACACACATATATACACACACACAGTGGAACCTCTACTTGGTAGCACATCCACGTGCGAGTTTTTCCAAATACGAGCAGTCGATGGGTCGATTTTTTGCTTCCATATGCGAGCAAAATTTCCATAAGCTAGCAGACCTCAAGGCAAGTTCCTTAGTGCTGGTGAGGGACTCTTGCTCTTGATCTAGGGAATTGTATCTCATTTGTTTGTTGGGCTATCTTATTGAAACTTGGGCAATGTACAATGGAAAGATGCTTCTTAACTTACACCAAAAATGAAAGAAATCGGAGCATAAATAATGGAGTTCACTTACAGAAATAGATATGATTTTGCTTGCTTTCACGACGAAAAGGAGAAATGTTCAATTGCTTGGATATTTTCAAGAGTAAGCAAATGACATCACTGTCCATTCCAATATGCAGTAGTAAATGGGTTGACATTATTTATGCAATTATTGCAATCAGGCATAACAGTAAACCTTATATTTTTTGTGTGAATAAAAATTACAAATTATTGATATTGTAATAATAACAATATGTATAATATGTAATAATAATACATATAATAATAATAGTATAATAATATAATACAATAATAATAATAATATAATATGTATAATAATAATACATATATGATAATAATGTACTACATAATAATAATAATAATAATAGATGGCTTCAAAATGCCATCACTAGATGGCAGTGTTTAGTAGGTAAGACACATATGCAGCAGTTAGGTATCTTTATTTCGAAACGTTTCGCCTACACAGTAGGCTTCTTCAGCCGAGTACAGAAAAGTTGATAGAAGCAGAAGAGACTTGAAGACGATGTAATCAGTCCATCACCCTTAAAGTTTTGAGGTGGTCAGTCCCTCAGTCTGGAGAAGAGCATTGTTCCATAGTCTGAAACAATATGGAGTTGAAGTGACAGGATGGAGCCTTATATAGTGGCAGGAGGTGAGACGTAAGTCACTAGTAGAACACAGATGTTGGGAGGTCAGGTCCCTCTCAAATCCAGCCGTTCTCACTAGTAGAGGTTGATGAAGTTGATTTCAGGTCTGTACCAAGATACCCTTGTGTTGCAGTGTCTGGCAGATTGAACATTAAAATGGTATAAAATACCGACAGATTGTTTCAGACTATGGAACAATGCTCTTCTCCAGACTGAGGGACTGACCACCTCAAAACTTTAAGGGTGATGGACTGATTACATCGTCTTCAAGTCTCTTCTGCTTCTATCAACTTTTCTGTACTCGACTGAAGAAGCCTACTGTGTAGGCGAAACGTTTCGAAATAAAGATACCTAACTGTTGCATATGTGTCTTACCTAACAATCTGTCGGTATTTTATACCATTTTAATGTTCAATTTGTCAGACACTGCAACACAAGGGTATCTTGGTACAGACCTGAAATCAACTTCGACAACCTCTACTAGTGAGAACGGCTGGATTTGAGAGGGACCTGACCTCCCAACATCTGTGTTCTACTAGTGACTTACGTCTCACCTCCTGGCACTATATAAGGCTCCATCCTGTCACTTCAACTCCATATTGTTTCAGACTATGGAACAATGCTCTTCTCCAGACTGAGGGACTGACCACCTCAAAACTTTAAGGGTGATGGACTGATTACATCGTCTTCAAGTCTCTTCTGCTTCTATCAACTTTTCTGTACTCGACTGAAGAAGCCTACTGTGTAGGCGAAACGTTTCGAAATAAAGTCTTACATAACAATCTGTCGGTATTTTATACCATTTTAATGTTCATGGCAGTGTTTACCGCAACAAAGAGGGAGCGGTTGTGGCCGCCTCCACCTGTTACACAGTGACATATTTTATTCATTCTAGAGTATATATCAGGTTTCTATGTTATTTATATTGTTTGTTATGTCATATTAGATGAACTTTGATAGATAAATACGCCATATAGACAATATTAGCGAAATTATTCAAGAAGTATTTTGTCCTGTCTCCAGACAAACTCTCGTCCACCGCCGACACTGCCCATACCACTTCATGAATGACATTTTTTATTCATTTTAGAGTATATATCAGGGTTCTATGTTATTTATATTGTTTATTATGTCATATTAGATGAAGTAAGATAGATAAATAAGCCGTAGAGTTGATATTAGCGAAATTATTGAAGTACAGAATTCCACTGGAACGGATTAATTACGTTGCAGTTAATTTAAATGAGGAAAATTGACTCTGCAAATGAGCAAATCCAGGTGCGTGCAAGGTCATGGAATGGATTAAACTGTATAAGTATATAAATATTATCACTGTCACAATAATCCACCAGGAATTTTTAAATTCATGTAATACAAATAGCAAAACCTTATAGGGACTACGCCATAAATAGTATGTCTTCGCCAGCTTTAACGTGATATGTCCATCAATAAGTCGCACATATATTCTCAATGTAAGGGATAAGATTAATAATTGAGACCAGTAGCACCTGAAGGGTGTTCCCATGCAAGGGAATGTAAGAGAGGGAACCGCTTAGTAGCGAGTGGGTGAGCCAACTGCCTCTAGTTGCCCACAGTGATCAGAGGTCAGTTATGGTCATGTGATCAGCAGGAAGCCAGCAAGTCAATGAAGGGCTGAACCAGCCCTAACTAGCAGTACACCGGTACATGAAATACACATAATATAAGAGCCTAACCAAAATATACAATAAATATAATATTCACAATGGAGGTGTCAGTGATTGTTTATATACCATGGTATTTGCAGTGTCATGTAATATTATAAAGTTAACCGTCTCCAATCTAGCTATCAGTGGAGATTGTTACGATATAATCTTAGGTAGGACCACTGTACAGAATGCTCTTGAACTGAATCTTTAGTCCAAGATGCAACAGTATGTGACCTAATTCATGTCTGCATAAATAATTCATTACTATTGTGACCAGATATAAACATGTAAATAGTTCATTACTATTGTAACTTGGTCAGCTATCAAAATTTTGGGGTCCAGTCCCAGGACCCATTATGACGCCTCTGTAACCACAGGATAGGTCTGGGGTGCATAATAAACATATTAACCCTTTGACTGTCGCGGCCATATATATACGTTTGTGAGGTACCGTGTTTGACGTATATATACTCATAAATTCTAGCGGCTTCAAATCAGGCAGGAGAAAGCTAGTAGGCCCACATGTGAGAGAATGGGTCTGTGTGGTCAGTGTGCACCACATAAAAAAAATCCTGGAGCACGCAGTGCATAATGAGAAAAAAAAAACTCCGACCGTTTTTTTTAATTAAAATGCCGACTTTGTGGTCTATTTTCGTATAGTATTTGTGGTTGTATTCTCGTTTTCATGGTCTCATTTGATAGAATGGAAACTATATTATAGAAATGGAGGTGATTTTGATTAATTTTACTATAAAAAGAACCTGGAAATGGAGCACAAAGTACAGGAAATGTTTGATTTTTGCCGATGTTCAAAAGTAAACAAATGATGTCATTGTCCAATAAATGTCCAAATAGCCATTCTAATACGCAGTCATGAATGGGTTGATGTAATTTTTGCAATTATTACAGTATTGCAGTAGTCTGCATAACAGTAAATCTTCTATTTTTTGTTTGAATAAAATTTCAAAATAAAAAGCAAGAGTAATATCACAGGGACCTGGAGACATGACTGATGAACAAAGAAAATCTTATTTTAGAGCCAGGAATGTCTACATTGTTCATTCTGGACCTTATTTTGAAATTGTCGTATTTTTTAATTTTCGTGAAATTGGCCAAATTGCAAATTTCTGACCATGTTATTGGGTAGTTGAAATCGGTAAATGGGCAGTTTCTTGTGCTCAATCGATAGAAAAAATAGAGTTCTGAAGAAATAGTTATGAGTTTGGTTGACTGGAATAACGGAATTAGCCGAAAATAGGGCTCAAAGTGGGCGAAATTGCCGATTTTTAAATATCGCCGAAGTCGCTAACTTCACGAGAGCGTAATTCCGTCAGTTTTCCATCAAATTTCGTTTTTTTGGTGTCTTTACAATCGGGAAAAGATTCTATATCATTTCATAAGAAAAAATAATTTTTTTTTTTTCGAATATTTTGCGACACCAGGAGCAACTTCAGGATTGGGCCCTTCGACAGTCAAAGGGTTAAACTAAAGTTATAGAAAGAGCATGATGAACATTATATTATGAGTGATGTAAAAAGTAGGAAATGAGACTACTGAAGGTCTTAAGAGCTACCCTCTCCTTCCTTGGATCAAACCTGATTATCCTCCATTCTCCATGTGGTAGTATGGCCCCCTACTGGTTTAATGCTTCCCCATGAATGAAGTAAGAGACAGAGAGCCAAGTAAGGGGAATCCTAGGACAGTGGTACCCTGAGTTTGAAACTTATTTCATTCCAGAATGCTGTTCTAGTGCCAATACCGAACAAATTTATTACCATAAGGAATAATGTAAATTAGATTAGTCCTTTTCACACCCCCAAAAATACACTTACTAATGCACTTACACAAATAAACTTACATAATTGGTCGAGTTGGGAGCAGTTCAAAACTCGGGGTACCACTTTACATAGAGGGATATACTGTATCATACAAGGAAAGCTTAAAAATTCACCCTTTTTTTTTTTTAAATACTTAGTGTAGGTAATGAAAGCAGGTAAATAAAATTTTTATATTTATTTTCAATTCTGACAGGACTGGAAGCCATTGCCAGACTTATCAGAACCTCTGGAAACATTATTCAACCAGCAGCTGTACCATACTGGACCAACACAGGCCCCTCCTGTGCCCCTCCCTCACACACCAATCAAGTCACGCCTTCCAGATCCATTTGCAGAGCTGACAACCGATGCTCAAGTGTTGGTACAGAGCATGGCTGAGATGGGATTTCCTCGACCCAGAGTGGCTAGAGCAGTGCAGAAACTGGGTACTGATCATAAGAAAGTAAGTTGTTACAGTTTTTGCTGAGATTTTTTGTTAAATAATTTTGACATTTTTTTTTATTATTTAAATAATGGTGACATCAGTCTTGCATGTATACCTCAGTGGTTAATGAGATCACCTCCGGTGAAAGATTCTGGGCCCAAATTTAGGTTAGGGCATGAAATATTGATAAGTCTCCTTACACCCATTATCCCAGGTTAACTGTATTTAATGACCTTCCAGATGCCACCCAGTAACTTAAACCAATACATTTTGCTAATGCCTCAAGCTGTGCTCTGCCTAATTCTGATCCTACTACTAGAAACAATTAAGTAACTTGTAACTTGAATGTCAACCAACAACTTTGCCTTAAAATTTCAACATTTAATCAACTATTATTATTATTATTATTATCACACTGGCCGATTCCCACCAAGGCAGGGTGGCCCGAAAAAGAAAAACTTTCACCATCATTCACTCCATCACTGTCTTCCCAGAAGGGTGCTTTACACTACAGTTTTTAAACTGCAACATTAACACCCCTCCTTCAGAGTGCAGGCACCGTACTTCCCATCTCCAGGACTCAAGTCCGGCCTGCCAGTTTCCCTGAACCCCTTCATAAATGTTACTTTGCTCACACTCCAACAGCACGTCAAGTATTAAAAACCATTTGTTTCCATTCACTCCTATCAACCACGCTCACGCATGCCTGCTGGAAGTCCAAGCCCCTCGCACACAAAACCTCCTTTACCCCCTCCCTCCAACCTTTCCTAGGCCGACCCCTACCCCGCCTTCCTTCCACTACAGACTGATACACTCTTGAAGTTATTCTGTTTCGCTCCATTCTCTCCACATGTCCGAACCACCTCAACAACCCTTCCTCAGCCCTCTGGACAACAGTTTTGGTAATCCCGCACCTCCTCCTAACTTCCAAACTACGAATTCTCTGCATTATATTCACACCACACATTGCTCTCAGACATGACATCTCCACTGCCTCCAGCCTTCTCCTCGCTGCAACATTCATCACCCATGCTTCACACCCATATAAGAGCATTGGTAAAACTATACTCTCATACTTCCCCTCTTTGCCTCCAAGGACAAAGTTCTTTGTCTCCACAGACTCCTAAGTGCACCACTCACCCTTTTCCCCTCATCAATTCTATGATTCACCTCATCTTTCATAGACCCATCCGCTGACACGTCCACTCCCAAATATCTGAATACATTCACCTCCTCCATACTCTCTCCCTCCAATCTGATATCCAAACTTTCATCACCTAATCTTTTTGTTATCCTCATAACCTTACTCTTTCCTGTATTCACTTTCAATTTTCTTCTTTTGCACACCCTACCAAATTCATCCACCAATCTCTGCAGCTTCTCTTCAGAATCTCCCAAGAGCACAGTGTCATCAGCAAAGAGCAACTGTGACAACTCCCACTTTATGTGTGATTCTCTATCTTTTAACTCCACGCCTCTTGCCAAGACCCTGCATTTACTTCTCTTACAACCCCATCTATAAATATATTAAACAACCACGGTGACATCACACATCCTTGTCTAAGGCCTACTTTTACTGGGAAATAATTTACCTCTTTCCTACATACTCTAACTTGAGCCTCACTATCCTCGTAAAAACTCTTCACTGCTTTCAGTAACCTACCTCCTACACCATACACCTGCAACATCTGCCACATTGCCCCCCTATCCACCCTGTCATACGCCTTTTCCAAATCCATAAATGCCACAAAGACCTCTTTAGCCTTATCTAAATACTGTTCACTTATATGTTTCACTGCAAACACCTGGTCCACACACCCCTACCTTTCCTAAAGCCTCCTTGTTCATCTGCTATCCTATTCTCCGTTCTTACTCTTAATTCTTTCAATAATAACTCTACCATACACTTTGCCAGGTATACTCAACAGACTTATCCCCCTATAATTTTTGCACTCTCTTTTATCCCCTTTGCCTTTATACAAAGGAACTATGCATGCTCTCTGCCAATCCCTAGGTACCTTACCCTCTTCCATACATTTATTAAATAATTGCACCAACCACTCCAAAACTATATCCCACCTGCTTTTAACATTTCTATCTTTATCCCATCAATCCCAGCTGCCTTACCCCCTTTCATTTTACCTACTGCCTCACGAACTTCCCCCACACTCACAACTGGCTCTTCCTCACTCCTACAAGATGTTGTTCCTCCTTGCCCTATACACGAAATCACAGCTTCTCTATCTTCATCAACATTTAACAATTCCTCAAAATATTCCCTCCATCTTCCCAATACCTCTAACTCTCCATTTAATAACTCTCCTCTCCTATTTTTAACTGACAAATCCATTTGTTCTCTAGGCTTTCTTAACTTGTTAATCTCACTCCAAAACTTTTTCTTATTTTCAACAAAATTTGTTGATAACATCTCACCCACTCTCTCATTTGCTCTCTTTTTACATTGCTTCACCACTCTCTTAACCTCTCTCTTTTTCTCCATATACTCTTCCCTCCTTGCATCACTTCTACTTTGTAAAAACTTCTCATATGCTAACTTTTTCTCCCTTACTACTCTCTTCACATCATCATTCCACCAATCGCTCCTCTTCCCTCCTGCACCCACTTTCCTGTAACCACAAACTTCTGCTGAACACTCTAACACTACATTTTTAAACCTACCCCATACCTCTTCGACCCCATTGCCTATGCTCTCATTAGCCCATCTATCCTCCAATAGCTGTTTATATCTTACCCTAACTGCCTCTCTCTTCCCTGATGCTTCTATTCTCCTTGTATCCCATTTACCTTTTACTCTCAGTGTAGCTACAACTAGAAAGTGATCTGATATATCTGTGGCCCCTTTATAAACATGTACATCCTGAAGTCTACTCAACAGTCTTTTATCTACCAATACATAATCCAACAAACTACTGTCATTTCGCCCTACATCATATCTTGTATACTTATTTATCCTCTTTTTCTTAAAATATGTATTACCTGTAACTAAACCCCTTTCTATACAAAGTTCAATCAAAGGGCTCCCATTATCATTTACACCTGGCACCCCAAACTTACCTACCACACCCTCTCTAAAAGTTTCTCCTACTTTAGCATTCAGGTCCCCTACCACAATTACTCTCTCACTTGGTTCAAAGGCTCCTATACATTCACTTAACATCTCCCAAAATCTCTCTCTCTCCTCTGCATTCCTCTCTTCTCCAGGTGCATACACGCTTATCAACTACTGTGCAGCATAACAAGTTGGTGGGAGTAGTCCCCAGTTCTTACACAGTTTGTTACGTACACAGTACTGTATTGTGAAATTCTCATTTCATATTCACAAGTGACCCACAAATTGGAGATGAATATCGATGGTATTTCATCTCCAATTTGTGTCTTAGTTTTGAATTATTCCAGCCATGGTATTATACCTTTTATTTTCTAACTTCATAGCTATACTGAAGTATAAATTAACATTGTCCCTTTCAGGTTGTTTCAGATTCAGGACTTGAATTATTTGCCCAGCAGAATATGAAGTGCCATTGTTACTACAATATTTATTGACATGTCTAGAGAAACCTCTCAGAATTATAAATAAGCTTTAAAGAGAGAGAGAGAGAGGGTTACAGAATGAATGAAGCTTTCTGTTTCAGCTTATTGAGGTTCTTCTAGTTCTACAATCTCTTCAAGAGAATGGTGAAGATGGATACAAAGCAGAGCGTGCGTTTTACCATTATTTAGGGGATGTCCAGAAGACACGCGATCACCTTGCTGCTGCTAAGCAGGTACTGTCAGCTTGTGTCTGGATGTTGATACAAGTTTCTCAAATATTAATCAATGAAAAAGTAAGTCAGAGGGTCTCTGATTGTGGCTGAAATATGCAGAGCCCATCCAGACTGTTTTTTATTTTCTCTCCATGTACGATTCACTCTTACATTATAGAGTAGGGCTCAACTTTATGGTGCTTAACTTTATGGTGATTCACTAATATGGACATTTCAAATTATACCCAAAAATTCATTTATACGGCTCCTTATTTGCTATTACAGCATCCGCGTCCTACCCATCCACTCTTAGTTTGCTTACATCCTCCATGCTCTCCTGATTATGTCTGAAAACTTTCCAAAGTTTCAAGTGCTTTAAAGTTATTGTGTATTTTATATATACTCTTTATCAGTTACAATGACATCTAAGGGTAGTTGTGATAAAAGAGGAGTTGTAAGGCTCTCACTTTAACCCCTTGACTGTTGCGGTCGTATATATACGTCATGGGAGATACCGTGTTTGACGTATCTATACACATAAATTCTAGCGGCTTCAAATCAAGCAGGAGAGGGCTGGTAGGCCTACATGAGAGAGAATGGGTCTCAGTGGTGGGTGTGCACCCTGTGAAAAAAAAAATCTGGGACTCAGCGGTGCATTGTGGGAACGCCATCTTGGTAGTCCACTTTCACCATGCCTCGCGGTAAGAAGTTCCTCACTCCTCAGCGGATTGGAGGTCTTTTGTTCCCAAGTGATAGCTCAAACAGCGATGAAAGTGCCAGTGAAAGTGAATTCCCTGGTTTTGAAGCGGGTGTGACCAAAAAAAGTGCCCAGGATAACGTAATTAGTAATGAAAACCCAGATGACCCACAACCTTCCACCTCTGGTGCTGGGCCGGCTCGTTCGTGTTCACCTGTACCAGGACGAAAGAGGAAACTATTTGCCCGTGTACAAGACTCAGATGTGAGCAGTGTAAGTGATAGTGATAGTGATTTCAAGGTTATTGAAAGCAGTTCTAGTTGTGACAGTGAGGGTGAATATTCCCCAGTGAAGCGGCAGTATATACGACGTCGCATGCGGTCTGGTAGTGTGCCATATGCTCTTCCAAGAGGAAGGAGTACATCTCGGAGCACATCCCGTGGCCCTACACCACGACCTGATAGTGAAGATGACGATATTGTTACGATGAGTATCAATGATGCAAGTGAGGCAGCAGGCGGTGGTGGTGATAGTGATGGTGGCACGAGTCATGTGACACCAGCAGCGGGCCACGCTACTACCCACGCTGCTGACTCTGCACAACTACAACCAGCCTCACCCGGCTCCACACTCCCACAACAACCACAACCACAACCTGCACAACCACAACCACATTACAATATCCAGAACCCACCAGCTGACCGCATCTGGGATTGGCAGCAAGATGACGAGTTTGTTCCCAGTCCCCATGACTTTGATGGAGGACAAAGTGAAATACGGCCATCATGTACACTTGGGAACAATCCCACTGAACTGGAATGCTTTCAGTTGTTCTTCAGTGAACCCCTGATGGACATTATTGTCAGGGAAAGCAATACATACTTTGAGTACACCATGGCAAACACTATTCTGTCACCAAGATCACGCCTACACCAGTGGAAGGACACAACTGTGGCAGAGATGTATCTGCTCTTTTCCACAATAATGCTTATGCCACATGTGTATAAGCACAGTGTCAACACATACTGGACAACAGACCACCTGATTTCAACCCCTGCTTTCAGTGACATTATACCAGTGAATAGATTTGTGTTACTGTTACGTATGTTACACTTTTCAGACAAAACAAGGCCTGACAGAAGTGACAGGTTATATAAGATCAGACGTGTGTTTATGTGCCTGAAACAAAAGTGCTGTATGTATTTTTATCCCTTCAGGAAGCTTGTTATTGACGAGTCTTTGATTTTGTTCAAAGGAAGACTCGCATTCAAACAGTATATACCAAGCAAGAGGAAACGCTTAGGTATAAAGTTATTTGTTCTGTGTGATTGCAAAACTGGTCTGGTTTTGGATATAATTGTGTACACTGGCAGTAAAACATTGGAAGATACCAGGAAGTTACTGGGTATCTCTGGTGATGTGGTTAGAACAATGATGGAGCCATATCTTGGTAAGGGGCATATTTTATATACTGACAACTGGTACACAAGCCCTATACTCAGTGATTTCTTGCGAGTGAACATGGCAGATGTGTGTGGCACAGTGCGTGGAAATCGTAAACATATGCCTAGGTTCGATGCTGGCAGTCATAGAGGTGAAGTGCAGGTGTTTGCTGCCAGTGACATCATGTCATTTCGGTGGCATGACAAACGTGATGTCACACTGCTGACATTAGTTCACCGACACGAAATGGTAGACACTGGCAAGCAGAATAGAGAGACCAATGAACCCATTGTAAAACCTGCAGCTGTGATGGATTACAACCTCAATATGCACTTAGTGGGCAAATGTGACATGCAGATTGGGTTTGCTGACTGTGTTCGCAAGAGTTATAAGTGGTACATAAAACTGTTTTTCCATCTTCTTGACATTTCCATGCTGAATGCTTATAATATGTATAAGTTGAAGACCAAGAACAAACCCAAATATGGTGAATTTTGTTTGACAGTCATCAGACAAATAATATTCAAGTACCAAGGAACAACACCTGCAATAAACCAGTGCCCACGAAATTATCAACACATGTCCTCTCGTCTGAGGCCTGGTGATCACTACCCCATACCACTGCCTGCTACTGCTCTCAAGAAAAATGCTCAGAAGAGGTGTTTTGTCTGTGGACATACCACAAAATGCCCACAAAAATGGAGAGACACTCGTTTTATGTGTGAGGAGTGTAAAACACCATTGTGCTTATACCCATGTTTCAAAGAATTCCACAAGCTGCAGCAGTTCTAGAAAAGTGTCCAGTGATTGTACATAGGTATATATATTATAGAACAATCATAATAAACAGTTTTTTATATTGTTTGTGTAAACAAGTTTTAGCAACATTATAATGATACGAGTGTTTTTGCTATAATTGTGTTACATTCAACGAGTGTATATTTGAACATTGCACAATAATTTGGTCTCACAGGCCACAAAAGTTATGTGAAAAAAATAAAATAGTGAAAAAAACAAGAAGCCATCGAACACAAGTAAATCAAAGTTTACCAGGTGAGCGGCAGTCGCCGCTGTTGCCGTTCACAGATCATTTTCAGCAAACTTCACACCTCTATATCTCGGTAAGTACTGATGGGAAAATTTTTTTTATGGACTAAAACAATCAGAAAAATAATCTTAACATTTTCATAAGAAAAAATAATTTTTTTTTTTTTTTGAATATTTTGTGACACCAGGAGACACTTCAGGATTGGGCCTTTCGACAGTCAAAGGGTTAAGTGCAAAGTTAAAAGTGATTAAACTCAGTGAGCAAGGGATATTTATGGCTGAGATAATACTGTGATACTATTGATAATTGTATTTACCTAAATAAACTTACACACTGTGCTGGCAGACAGGTACATCAAAATCACTATTTGACATTGCTACAAAGTAGGAGTTGCTATGGCAGGCGAGGAAGTAGCTACGAGTCTCACTAGTACAGTGGACCCCCGGTTAACAATATTTTTTCACTCCAGAAGTATGTTCAGGTGCCAGTACTGACCGAATTTGTTCCCATAAGAAATATTGTGAAGTAGATTAGTCCATTTCAGACCCCCAAACATACACGTACAAACGCACTTACATAAATACACTTACATAATTGGTCGCATTCGGAGGTAATCGTTATGAGGGGGTCCACTGTATTGAAAACACAGTAATAATAATAATCACTCTGGAGCGCTTTAAATGTTGTATATTATGTTACTATGGACATTTTCATTAATCCAAATATGACATTCTTTCAAAATTATATAAGAAACACACTACATATCATATAAACAAAATACATACAATAATAGAAAACAAATTAACATAAATGTGAGGTGTGGTAGCCGGGCGGCTTGTAGTAGTGACAAGGCAAGAATTACGTTTTCTTTGTTCAACTTGGGGGTAACTGTAGAAAAACATTCCTTTTGTATTCCTTGTATCAGCGGTGGGCCGACGGCCAGTGGATGCGTATGAAATACGTATGTATCCGACCACCCACCCAAAACAATATCACCATGTAAACATTTATGGAGCACCCTCCTCATGGCGTTTTATAATAATAATAATCATCTTTCCTTCTACAAGTAAAACTGGGTGTTGCTGTGAGGTTTACATCTCAGTTCCATCTGGAAACTTAACCAGAGTTTCAAGTGTTTTGAAGTTATTTCATCGTAAGGTTCTTACTTTAAATGAACTCTAAAGAGAAGTGTTGCAGGAAATTAAAAAGGCTACACCAGTGAACACTAAAGTTATAAGAAAACTTGATAACCTTATTGCTGTTTTGGAAAAACTTTTTATTGATATGGACTGAAGATCAAACTAGTTACAACGTGCCTTTAAGCCAAGCCATTATCCAGTCCAAGGCCCAAAGTCTCATCAATTCTATGAAGGATGAGAGAGGTGAGAAAGCTGCTGCAGATAAATTTGAAGCTAGCAGAGGCCGGTTTCATCTCTTGACTTCCTACATTAAATACTACTCGGCTCTCGCCCTACATTAAGGCCAAAAAGCTAATTAATGAATGTACTGTATATATATACATTTTACATTTTTTATTTTAGGTCTAGTTCTATTGCTGACTTAATATATGATAGTGTAAACATGTTATCAGGCATTTATATGTATTTAAAAGTAAAAAAAAAAGGGCAATTCACTTTATGGCAGTAGCCTGGAACCTAACCTGCTGTATGAGTGGGGCCCTTCTGTAGTATACTATACACAAGTGATTTGTTCCATATAACTTTTAACTCTTAAGTATAGAGTAAACCCATGATTTAACAAACTAATATGGGGTGGTAGGTAGCCAGTAATTGTAATTGTGGTGAACAAAGGTGAGTGTGTTTTGCCATAATTGTAGCAATATTGGCCAGATCTATAACCAGTAGGCTTTGTCCGTTGTTTCTAAATTATTTAGCCCAGCAGATTTTTGTTTCATATTTCTGAAGCAAAGAGGGGAATGTATGAGAATATAGTTATACCAATGCTTTTATATGGGTGTGAAGCATGGGTGGTGAATGTTGCAACAAGGAGAAGGCTGGAGGCAGTGGAGATGTCATGTCTGAGGGCAATGTGTAGTGTGAATATAATGCAGAGAATTCGTGGTTTGAAAATTAGGATGAGGTGCAGGATTACCAAAACTATTTTCCAGAGGGCTAAGGAGGGGTTGTTGAGGTGGTTTGGACATGTAGAGAGGATGGAATAAAATAGAATGACTTCGAGAGTGTATCAGTCTGTAGTGGAGGGATGGCGGGGTAGAGGTCAGCCTAGGAAAGGTTGGAGGGAGGGGGTAAGGGAGGTTTTGTGGGCGAGGGGCTTAAACTTCCAGCAAGCGTGCGTGAGCGTGTTAGATAGGAGTGAATGGAGAAGAATGGTTTTTGGGACATGACGAGCTGTTGGAGTGTGAGCAGGGTAATATTTAGTGAAGGGATTCAGAGAAACCGGTTATTTTTATATAGCCGGACTTGAGTACTGGAAATGGGAAGTACCATGCCTGCACTTTAACCCCATGACTGTCGCAACCCCCAAATCCTGAGGTGTCTCCTGGTGTTGCAAAAATTTAAAAAAAAAAATTATTTTTTCTTATAAAATGATAGAGAATTGAGTCGACTCAAGGTTGAGGGACTGATTACCTCATTCTCCTCCTGTTCTTCACATTTCTCCTTTGTATGGACTGATGAAGCCACTGTGTGGTGAAACGTTTCCTCAATAAAGTTACCCAAAAGTTGCACATTTGTCTAATTTATCAATGTGTCGGTTCTCTGAACCATTCATCTACAAAATACAGATTGACAAAAAAGTGTTGCTGTTATCACATGGAAATTTTTTTGTAGTGAATATATTGACTTATTTGTATTGTCTGAGAGTTCTAGTATTGTATTGTGAGTATAATGATTAAAGTATTAGTTGTAGTGATATGAGTGAAGATGATCTCTTATCAGAGGAACATCAAAAATTGATTTCAAAATTTGTTTGTGTGCTCTCATTATTAAGCTCAAGAATGTGTAGTAAAAACTTTAAATATTGCCACAGTACTCAAATATTGCCACTGTACTTAAATATTGCCACTGTACTTAAATATTGCCACTGTACTTAAATATTGTCAGTGTACTTAAATATTGCCACTGTACTTAAATATTGCCACTGTACTTAAATATTGCCACTGTACTTAAATATTGCCACTGTACTTAAATATTGTCAGTGTACTTAAATATTGCCACTGCACTTAAATATTGTCAGTGTACTTAAATATTGCAACTGTACTTAAATATTACCACTGTACTTAAATATTGTCAGTGTACTTAAATATTGTCAGTGTACTTAAATATTGTCAGTGTACTTAAATATTACCACTGTACTTAAATATTGTCAGTGTACTTAAATATTGCAACTGTACTTAAATATTACCACTGTACTTAAATATTGTCAGTGTACTTAAATATTGTCAGTGTACTTAAATATTGTCAGTGTACTTAAATATTACCACTGTACTTAAATATTGTATCTGTACTTAAATATTGCAACTGTACTTAAATATTGTCAGTATACTTAAATATTGCCACTGTACTTAAATATTGTCAGTGTACTTAAATATTGCAACTGTACTTAAATATTGTCAGTGTACTTTAATATTGCCACTGTACTGAAATATTGCAACTGTACTGAAATATTACCACTGTACTTTAATATTGCCACTGTACTGAAATATTGCCACTGTACTTATATATTGCCACTGTACTTAAATATTGTCAGTGTACTTAAATCTTGCTGCTGTACTTATAAATAACAAAAAAAGGCATAATACCGTGACTGGAACGGTACACAAATAACCTGCACATAGAAGAGAGGAGCTTATGACGACGTTTCGGTCTGAGTCAGACCAAAATGTAGTCATAAGCTCCTCTCTTCTATGTGGGGGTTATTTGTGTACTGTACTTATATATTGCTACTGTACTTAAAAATTACCACTGTACTAAAATATTGTCACTGTACTTAAATATTGCCACTGTATTTAAATATTGTCAGTGTACTCTTTACTTTGCAGCTCTTGGACCTTGGGTTTGAAGAAGAGAGAATTGTGGATGCCCTTCTGAAACACGACAATGACCGAGACAAAGCCTTAGAAGAACTCATAGCTTAGGAGTTGGTTGGCATCATCCTGCATTACCAGGATGTGGTGAGAAAGAGGAGCAATATTTTAATATCGTATTGTAACTGCATATGTCTTGGACTCCAAATGTATTTCATAAAATTTAATACCATGTTAGTAGGGATGAGGTGTTTTATTTTTTACAAGATTATAATTTTTAGACAAAGAATTCAGCTCTTGTGATTCTTGTGCTTTTATAAAGAAGCAGTTATAAAATGTAGAGACCTTTTACTGTTTATTTAGAATACCATTAAGTATCTGATCTTCTAGACTTGCATTCACATAACTTGTGTCTGAATTGTGGACACAAAAATGCGACTTCTAAAGAATAACATTAATACAGTACTGTATATAAGGTTAAAGACTTTTCTACATATGCCTGTAAATTTAAGAAATACTCTTGGCACCATAGGCAGTAATTTGTAGACAGAAATTTTTGACTCATTGTTTGAGATGTCCAATGGCTATGTTGGCTTGTAGGTTGCAAAAATCAACAGCTTGGCTGACCAATTAGTTTTTAGAGAATCTTGGCCTCGAAGAGAGCCATGAGAGTGGAATAATACTCAAAAATCATCTATAGATGATCCCCAGGTAGAGTCATGGACAAAGATCCTCTTAAAACACTGAATTGCTGGGACAGTTTAGGGCTCACTACAGCTTCAAATAAACTCATATCAGGAGTTTTGATCTAGACTGAGCACTGTAAATGATGTATACAGTAGGATAACAAATTTTCTGCCATATCTTCTCCACTTATTGTGTGGCTGTTTTTCCTTGAGTAATATAAATTTATTGCAGAACATATCAGAACTTATGTGGGCATTTTAGTATGTTTTCAACAAGAGAAGTGTGCTTAAAAAAAAGTGTACTACTATACATAACTTTTCTTATTTCAGAATACTCTGAGGCAGTTTTAAAGTTTATATTTGATATGATTGATTATAGCCTTTATAATTTATAAGAATTTCACATTTATCGTTGTGTTTGTTTCTACAGTTGGCTTAACTAAGGAGGAAAAGGAAACTAGCTGCCAGCATAATAGAAAGGACAACAGTGACACTCATCTTTTGACCAATGTCAATACAGGTGATAATTGTATGTGCTCGCTCTTCATTTGAGAAAGAGATGACTGTAGAGAACTGCACATTCAGTCCTAGTCTCCTGAGTACTTGTGAGTTTTGACACAGTTTAATATAAAGTACAGTGGAACCCTAACTTATGAGTTTAATCCGTTCCAGGAGCTAGCTCATAACTCAGTTTACTTGTATATCAAATTAATTTTCCTCATTTAAATTAACTGAAAAGCCATTAATTCGTTCCTGCACTCTGGAGAGACGAGATAAATTACTGTATGGCTTATTTATCAATCACATTTCATCTAATATGACATAATAAACAATGTAATTAACACGGAAACATGATATATACTCTAGAATGAATAAAATAGGCAGCAGCGGAAGCGTCCGCCATTTCCTGTCCAATTTGACTGTATAGTATCTTCCCATGCTGTTATTGTAAGAGAAAACGGAGTATTTTTGAGGGTAACTGCAGTAGATCACTAGTTTTCTGAGGAAAACACTGAATTTTTTTTTTTTTTCAACAAGTCGGCCATCTCCCACCGAGGCAGGGTGAAAATATCGTATATAAATAATTAATAAATCATAATACACTTATTACAACCCAGGAATCCAAATGGCCTGTTATCCCGGGTGTAATGGGAGCAAAATAAACACAGCAGAAAAAGTTTAGACTTATATTATCCTTCACCAATTTAGAACAGCAATATGTACACTATGTACAGTGATAAGTATAGTGCACTCCACGGTAAGCAAGGCAGAAATAGAAGCCACAAGATAGCAGACCGTGCTTCAACCAGCTCTAGAATGGGAATGACAAGGGCAGACAGGAGAGCGGTACCCACATATCCTCTGCGATTGCCAAAACCATCTTCTTATTGGCTAGAACCTGGTCACTAGTTGAACGACGGGGCCCCATCATCAACTCTTAGCAACCTGGTTCGCTGGTTGGGGGAGATAGCCTGTAAATGAGGGTGTGTACATGCGCCGAATAAAGGTTACGTACTCTTTGCATGCCACAACACTACAGAATGTAAAGAAATGATAAACTGTTTATATAAAGTGTATGTGTACTTACACACTGAACATAACTGATACAATTTGTTTGTTTAATCACTGAACATAACTGATATTTTATCTCCTGCAAGCTGCTTCTCTCTCAACCACGTCAGCAGCAGCTTCTCCATCTTTTCATGGAGAGAGGTCCGCAGCTTAGACGTTATTGTAAAACCCTTGCGTGGCGCTATAGCGTTTATCGACTCCTGCTCCTTTAGCACCGTACATATAGTAGATTAATAAGTTGAGGAAGCCTAGGGAACAAATGGATTTGACAGTTAAAAATAGGAGAGGAGAGTTATTAAGTAGAGAGTTAGAGGTATCGGGAAGATGCAGGGATTATTTTGAGGAATTGTTAAATGTTGATGAAGATAGGGAAGCTGTGATTTCATGTATAGGGCAAGGAGGAATAACATCTTGTAGGAGTGAGGGAGAGCCAGATGTGAGTGTGGGGGAAGTTCATGAAACAGTGGGTAGAATGAAAGAGGGTAAGGCAGCTGGGATTGATGGGATTAAGATAGAAATGTTAAAAGCAGGTGGGCATATAGTTTTGGAGTGGTTGGTGCTATTATTTAATAAGTGTATGGAAGAGGGTAAGGTAACTAGGGATTGGCAGAGAGCATGCATAGTTCCTTTGTATAAAGGCAAAGGGGATAAAAGAGAGCGGTATTTATGGATTTGGAAAAGGCATATGACAGGGTGGATAGAGGGGCAATGTGGCAGATGTTGCAGGTGTATGGTATAGGAGGTAGGTTACTGAAAGCAGTGAAGAGTTTTTATGAGGATAGTGAGGCTCAGGTGAGAGTATGTAGGAGAGAGGGAGATTATTTCCCAGTAAAAGTAGGCCTTAAACAAGAATGCGTGATGTCACCGTGGTTGTTCAATATATTTATATATGGGGTTGTAAGAAGTGACTGTGAGGGTCTTGGCAAGAGGTGTGGAGTTAAAAGATAAAGAATCAAACACAAAGTGGGAGTTGTCACAGTTGCTCTTTGCTGATGACACTGTGCTTTTGGGGGATTCTGAAGAGAAGTTACAGAGGTTGGTGGATGAATTTGGTAAGGTATGTAAGAGAAGAAAATTAAAAGTGAATATAGGAAAGAGTAAGGTGATGAGGATAACAAAAAGATTAGGTGATGAAAGTTTGGATATCAGATTGGAGGGAGAGAGTATGGAGGAGGTGAATGTATTCAGATATTTAGGAGTGGATGTGTCAGCAGATGGGTCTATGAAGGATGAGGTGAATCATGGAATTGATGAGGGGAAAAGGGTGAGTGGTGCACCTAGGAGTCTGTGGAGACAAAGAGGGAAATGTATGAGAGTATAGTTGTACTCACACTCTTGTATGGATGTAAAGCATGGGTGATGAATGTTGCAATGAAGAGAAGGCTAGAGGCAGTGGAGATGTCATGTCTGAGGGCAGTGTGTGGCATGAATATAATGCAGAAAATTTGTAGTTTGGAAATTAGGAGAAGGTGTGGGATTACCAAAACTATTATCCAGAGGGCTGAGGAGGAGTTGTTGAGGGTTCAGACATGTAGAGAGAATGGAACAAAACAGAATGACTTCGAGAGTGTATAAGTCTGTAGTGGAGGGAAGGTGGGGTAGGGGTCGGCCTAGAAAGGGGTGGAGGGAGGGGGTAAAGGAGGTTTTGTGTGTAAGCGGCTTGGACTTCCAGCAAGCGTGCATGAGCGTAGTTGATAGAAGTGAATGGAGACAAATGGTGTTTAATACTTGACGTGCTGTTGGAGTGTGAGCAAAGTAACATTTATGAAGGGTTTCAGGGAAACCGGCAGGCCGGACTTGAGTCCTGGAGATGGGAAGTATAGTGTCTGCACCCTGAAGGAGGGGTGTTAATGTTGCAGTTTTATAACTGTAGTGTAAAGCACCCCTCTGGCAAGACAGTGATGGAGTGAATGATGATGAAAGTTATTCTTTTTCGGGCCACCCTGCCTTGGTGGGAATCAGCTGATGTGTTAATAAAAATAATAATATGGTAGATGTACTGCGCTGGTATTGTCTGGCTAAATCCACAACTCGTGCACCTTGCATATGTTTATCTATGATTTCCTGAGTTAATTCCATGGAAATCATTGTCTTTTTCTTCTCAGCACTGTCCTTTGCACTTACTTTCTTAGGACCCATGGTTAGAAAAGTGAAATTTGGCCAAATGACTATCAAAATTGTAAGCAAAGCATAGAGAACTGCTTTGACAGTGATGTAAACATGTGTACTGCCAACTAGTGGCAGCATTCTGAATTATTATTATGTACGTATTATGTACATTATTTTTTTTTTTCCAACAAACCGGCAGTATCCCACCAAGGCAGGGTGGCCCAAAAAGAAAAACGAAAGTTTCTCTTTTTAAATTTAGTAATTTATATGGGAGAAGGGGTTACTAGCCCCTTGCTCCCGGCATTTTAGTCGCCTCTTACAACACGCATGGCTTACGGAGGAAGAATTCTGTTCCACTTCCCCATGGAGATAAGAGGAAATAAACAACAACAAGAACTAGAAAGAAAATAGAAGAAAACCCAGAGGGATGTGTATACATACATATATATGCTTGTACATGCATGTGTAGTGTGACCTAAGTGTAAGTAGAAGTAGCAAGACGTACCTGAAATCTTGCATGTTTATGAGAAGACAGAAAAAAGGACACCAGCAATCCTACCATCATGTAAAACAATTGCAGGCTTTCGTTTTACACTCACTTGGCAGGACGGTAGTACCTCCCTGGGCGGTTGCTGTCTACCAACCTACTACCTAGAATGTACATTATTATTATTATTAATTTAGGGAACTGAAGCTCTATTGTTATTATAATTATTATTATTATTATTAACTTAGGGAACTAGAGCACATATCCAATTCTCTAGATCAAGATACCTTCACCAGCATGTTATAATAATACATTATTATAACGAGAGCTTCAGAACGAAGTCAATTCAGTGCACTGTTTACCTAGCTGTGGGAGCAGTTCTCTCCTGCTTTTCTTACATTTTTGACAGTCATTTGGCCAAATTTTGCTTTTCCAACCATGAGTCCTAAGAAAGTAAGTATAAATGACAGTGCTGATAAGAAAAAAAGGATGATTTCCATGGAATTAAAACATGAAATCGTAGATAAGCAAGAGAGGTGTCCAGGTTTTGGGTTAAGGGGGAAGTGGGGGGGAGCTAGCTCGTAATTCAAATGTTGACTCGTAACTCAGAGCAAAAAATCGACCCAGGGACGGCTCATATCTCAAAAAACTCATACGTTGGGACACTCGTAAGTCAGGGTTCCACTGTATTCAGAATCATTAAAAAATTATTATACAGATTGTTAGGTACGCTATTTTCTATTACCTCTTTTCATTTGTTTTCCAATACTTCAATACTGCAGAAAATAGTAAATATGCATTTTTTTTTTTTAACATGCTGGCTGTCTCCCACCAAGGCAGGGTGACCTGAAAAAGAAACACTTTCACCATTATTCACACTATCACTGTCTTGCCAGAGGTACAATAGTTTAGATGTCACTCTAAACAGCATATATAACCAAACCCCTCCTTTAGAGTGCAGGAACAGTACTTCCCATCTCCAGAACTCAAGTCCAGCAAACTGTTTTTCCTGAATCTCTTCACAAAATATTACCCTGCTCACATATAAACCAAATACATGTATATACACATCATGCAGGGACAAAGGTAGAAATTTACCAGAGGAAACTGAACCACTACCTTCAACAAGTGCCAGAGGAGCCTGGTTGTGATGGTTATGCAGGACTGTGGGCTGTTAGCAGCAACAGCCTTCTTGATCAGGCAGTTAGGAGGTGCACCTAACCTCAGGTCAGACTGTGTGGATACAGTCCTTGAGACAAGTAACTGGTATGTCAGTGTTCACTATTGCTTACATAATGCTACTGCTTGAATATGTGGTTCCAATACAAACATCTCACTTTGCCATGAAACTAGTACTAGATGAGACTGGTATTAGAGCTGAGAAGCAAGACTAGTACTAAAGCTGAAAAGGAAAAGCCATGAGGAAAGACTTGTGAACTTGACCTTGTGACCTGGAGGAAAGTACTGATCAAGAAGACGTATGATATAAAGTAAAAATTATTTTATAGTTATGGATAGGTTGTTTGATACAGGAAGATCATTCATGGGAAGAAAATGAAGTTGAACCTCATGGGGATCAAAGAGGTTAGGAGAGGATACATTTTGCAAGACAAGCTTTTATTGGGACAATGTTTGGTTCTTAAAATCTTGATAGAGCTTAACAAATCCACATATTGTCAAAATTAAATCATATTCTGCAGTGTCTTTTCTTTATTACTGCCAGCAGCATGCCATTTGCTTCAGTTAAAGAGGTGTTTAGAAAGTATTTTTATATATGTTAAGAACAGTAAATAAAGGGATATGCATAAGAGAATAATATAATAAGCAAACACAGGAATAACCAAGGATTTCCACACTTCAGCAACAATCACGATGACGATCTAAGATTTAGTAAGTGGGACAAATGAGTACCCAGGTCTCCATATACAGAATCAAAAGTACGTGCAGTACCAGAGCTAAATCATATCATGTAGTTGAAACCTGAGTTATTTCCTGGTGGTGGATTTAAACTAGCAATTTCTGCTAGTTATATACACTTAGACAAACTTGCAGCTGTACTATGAACTCAGCTAGCAATACAAAAACAAAACTCCTGAAAGTTTCCAGGTATACCATCACACTGGTGCCACAGCTGTTAGTCTTGAGCTATAAGTGAAGACTGTATGAGCTATATCTCTCATATCTTATGCAACTTGAAATGAGAAGGAATATGATCATAACATTCAAAATACTCTAGTCAGTGTAGAGAAGAGGAGGAGTTACAAATAAAGCAGATTACAGTAGATACTGTGCAGAGATGAGAGATTTTGTAAATGAAATTCTTTACTGGAGGAGATGTATACCTAAAGGTAGGTAGGTGTGTGTGTGTGTGTGTGTGTGTGTGTGTGTGTGTGTGTGTGTGTGTGTGTGTGTGTGTGTGTGTGTGTGTGTGTGTGTGTGTGTGTACTCACCTAGTTACTCACCTAGTTGAGGTTGCAGGGGTCGAGTCCAAGCTCCTGGCCCCGCCTCTTCACTGGTCGCTACTAGGTCACTCTCCCTGAACCATGAGCTTTATCGTACCTCTGTGTGTGTGTGTGTGTGTACTCACCTAGTTGTACTCACCTAGTTGAGGTTGCGGGGGTCGAGTCCGAGCTCCTGGCCCCGCCTCTTCACTGATCGCTACTAGGTCACTCTCCCTGAGCCGTGAGCTTTATCATACCTCTGCTTAAAGCTATGTATGGATCCTGCCTCCACTACATCGCTTCCCAAACTATTCCACTTACTGACTACTCTGTGGCTGAAGAAATACTTCCTAACATCCCTGTGATTCATCTGTGTCTTCAGCTTCCAACTGTGTCCCCTTGTTACTGTGTCCAATCTCTGGAACATCCTGTCTTTGTCCACCTTGTCAATTCCTCTCAGTATTTTGTATGTCGTTATCATGTCCCCCTATCTCTCCTGTCCTCCAGTGTCGTCAGGTTGATTTCCCTTAACCTCTCCTCGTAGGACATACCTCTTAGCTCTGGGACTAGTCTTGTTGCAAACCTTTGCACTTTCTCTAGTTTCTTCACATGCTTGGCTAGGTGTGGGTTCCAAACTGGTGCCGCATACTCCAATATGGGCCTAACGTACACGGTGTACAGGGTCCTGAATGATTCCTTATTAAGATGTCGGAATGCTGTTCTGAGGTTTGCTAGGCGCCCATATGCTGCAGCAGTTATTTGGTTGATGTGCGCTTCAGGAGATGTGCCTGGTGTTATACTCACCCCAAGATCTTTTTCCTTGAGTGAGGTTTGTAGTCTCTGACCCCCTAGACTGTACTCCGTCTGCGGCCTTCTTTGCCCTTCCCCAATCTTCATGACTTTGCACTTGGTGGGATTGAACTCCAGGAGCCAATTGCTGGACCAGGTCTGCAGCCTGTCCAGATCCCTTTGTAGTTCTGCCTGGTCTTCGATCGAGTGAATTCTTCTCATCAACTTCACGTCATCTGCAAACAGGGACACCTCAGAGTCTATTCCTTCCGTCATGTCGTTCACAAATACCAGAAACAGCACTGGTCCTAGGACTGACCCCTGCGGGACCCCGCTGGTCACAGGTGCCCACTCTGACACCTCGCCACGTACCATGATTCGCTGCTGTCTTCCTGACAAGTATTCCCTGATCCATTGTAGTGCCTTCCCTGTTATCCCTGCTTGGTCCTCCAGTTTTTGCACCAATCTCTTGTGTGGAACTGTGTCAAACGCCTTCTTGCAGTCCAAGAAGGCGTTTGACACAGTTCCACACAAGAGATTGGTGCAAAAACTGGAGGACCAAGCAGGGATAACAGGGAAGGCGTGTGTGTGTGTGTGTGTGTGTGTGTGTGTGTGTGTGTGTGTGTGTGTGTGTGTGTCTGTCTGTCTGTCTGTCTGTCTGTCTGTCTGTCTGTCTGTCTGTCTGTCTGTCTGTCTGTCTCTTCTTCTTCTTTCAACAAACCGGCAGTATCCCACCAAGGCAGGGTGGCCCAAAAAGAAAAAGAAAAGTTTCTCTTTTTAAATTTAGTAATTTATATGGGAGAAGGGGTTACTAGCCCCTTGCTCCCGGCATTTTAGTCGCCTCTTACAACACGCATGGCTTACGGAGGAAGAATTCTGTTCCACTTCCCCATGGAGGTAAGAGGAAATAAACAAGAACAAGAACTAGAAAGAAAATAGCAGAAAATCCAAAGGGGTGTGTGTATATAGTATATGCTTGTACATGCATGTGTAGTGTGACCTAAGTGTAAGTAGAAGTAGCAAGACGTACCTGAAATCTTGCATGTTCATGAGACAGAAAAAAGGACACTAGCAATCCTACTATCATGTAAAACAATTACAGGCTTTTGTTTTACACTCACTTGGCAGGACGGTAGTACCTCCCTGGGCGGTTGCTGTCTACCAACCTACTACCTAAAGTACAGTATGTATGTATGTATGTATGTATGTATATATATATATATATATTATATATATATATATATATATATATATATATTTTATATATATATATATATATATATATATATATATATATACACATTATTTATATATATATATATATATATATATATATATATATATATATATATATATATATATATATATATATATATATATATATATTATATGAAGGAGGGGGTAAATGTTGCAGTTTAAAAACTGTAGTGTAAAGCACCCTTCTGGTAAGACAGTGATGGAGTGAATGATGGTGAAAGTTTTTCTTTTTCGGGCCACCCTGCCTTGGTGGGAATCGGCCAGTGTGATGATAATAATAATAATAATATAAATCTATTGGGGAAGGAAGGCGGGGTAGGGGTCGTCCTAGAAAGGATTGGAGAGAGGGGGTAAAGGAGGTTTTGTGGGGGAGGGCCTTGGACTTCCAGCAAGCATGCGTGTGCGTGTTAGATAGGAGTGAATGGAGACGAATGGTACTTGGGACCTGATGATCTGTTGGAGTGTGAGCAGGGTAATATTTAGTGAAGGGATTCAGGGAAACCGGTTATTTTCATATAGTCGGACTTGAGTCCTGGAAATGGGAAGTACAATGCCTGCACTTTAAAGGAGGGGTTTGGGATATTGGCAGTTTGGAGGGATATGTTGTGTGTCTTTATATGTATATGCTTCTAAACTGTTGTATTCTGAGCACCTCTGCAAAAACAGTGATAATGTGTGAGTGTGGTGAAAGTGTTGAATGATGATGAAAGTATTTTCTTTTTGGGGATTTTCTTTCTTTTTTGGGTCACCCTGCCTCGGTGGGAGACGGCCAACTTGTTGAAAAAAAAAATATATATATATATATATATATATATATATATTATATTATATATATATATATATACAGTGGACCCCCGGTTAACTAACTTTTTTCATTCCAGTAGTATGTTCAGGTGCCAGTACTGACCGAATTTTTTCCCATAAGGAATATTGTGAAGTAGATTAGTCCATTTCAGACCCCCAAACATACACGTACAAACGCACTTACATAAATACACTTACATAATTGGTCGCATTTGGAGGTGATCGTTAAGCGGGGGTCCACTGTATATATATATATATATATATATATATATATATATATATATATATATAACACACACACTGTACATGCTAATATTTTTGGGTGCATTTGCAAATGCAGTACAGGCAAATATGGTTTTGACAATATATATGATGACTCAGACACAATAAAATGGATAGACTATATATGAAGTGCACAGCTAAAAGGACATTTATTTATAAACTGTTATTATAATTCTTAAATAGTAAGAAAGAATATTACAAGTGTTGATGTAAAATGCTCAATAGTTTTGGAATCTGTCTTGTGACAAGCATTTGATCTCAGAATTGACAATCCAGGAAATGTTTGTATAAAAACAGTGATGTTTGTCACTCTCAGAGATCTGTTTGGTATATTATGATTCCATCTAGAGTGGAATCCAACAACAAACATTAATACCATTGCTGAGAATAGAAACTCCAAGAAATTTGTTTTATTGAGTGAATTATGAAAGGACAAAACATTTAAGTTCATTTCTTAGACAGGAATTGATAAAAAATTTGCATTGGTAAATTAGTGACAATCCTAGAGACCTGGTCTCTTAGCACAGACCCTGGGGACCTGGTCTCTTAGCATGGACCCTGGGGACCTGGTCTCTTGGCACAGACCCTGGAGACCTGGTCTCTTGGCACAGACCCTGGGGACCTGGTCTCTTGGCACAGACCCTGGGGACCTGGTCTCTTAGCACAGACCCTGGAGACTTGGTCTCTTAGCACAGACCCTGAGGACCTGGTCTCCTGGCACAGACCCTGAGGACCTGATCTCTTGGCACAGACTTTCTTGAAGCAAGTCACAAAGTACACACACAATGCCACCTACTAATGTATATACTGTATATCTCCATGAAGCTGTAGAGTATATTGATATATGTACTGAAATGTTTATATTGACATAAGCATGTATAAAAAGCAAGAAATGAGCCTTTATAAAAGCCTTTTTGTGGGCCATGATTATTTACATTATGAGCTCTGACTAAATATGTAAAGTATTTAGTGTGAGAGACAAGGGTGATTGTCAACAGAGCTGGCTTGTGCTGCCCAGGTTGCTCTCTCATTCTGGCTTTATTGAATTTGCTCTTCTTGCCAGCTTTACTCCATGTCAAGAATTTTAATACGACTTTTTTTATATAGCGATATTTTTAATTTTGCTTAAAAGTATTCATGTTTTGTAGGAAAAATGGTTTTAATACCAGAGTGGAAATGTTTAGTGTGAGATATTGAGAGGATATATTGTAGTCCATGATAACATTGATGGT